GTCTTTGGCCAGCAAACCTGACCACCGAAAGGTCTAAGGCTTCATAAGGATTTAAGGTGCAGGGTTTAGGGTTTAGGGTTTAGGGTTTAGGGTTTAGGGTCCGCCGACCCTGACGGCGTGTTGGATGGAAAAGGAGGTGAAAACCTCCCTCTTTCCCTCCTTACCCCCCCAAAACGCGGGGGGGGGGTAGGGGGGGGTCCCCGGGCAGCTTTTCCATGGAGGGCCAGGCCACCCACACGGCATAAACTCACGGACCATAGGCGGTTTCGCACAGGACATAGGGGCCCTTTGGGAAAAACCACCCCCCCCCCCCCCCCCCCCCCCCCCCCCCCCCCCCCCCCCCCCCCCCCCCCCCCCCCCCCCCCCCCCTACCCCCCCCTACCCCCCCCCTACCCCCCGTAAGATGGACACTTAAAGGCTATGCTGCACGTGCGTGCCTTGTAAACAAATACTTTACAAAGGAAACACCCGCAGAATAGACGCAACGCACCCGCAGAATAGACGCAATGCACCCTCAGCATCAGCAGTGTCCTGAGCGGGGGCGCAGCGCAGGGCGCGCGCGGAGGGCGCGCGGGGAGGGCGCGGAGGGCGGAGGAGGGGAGGGCGCGGAGGGCGGAGGGCGCGGAGGGGGCGCGGAGGGCGCGGAGCGCGCGGAGGGCGCGGAGGCGCGAGGGGCGCGGAGGGCGCGGAGGGCGCGGAGAGGGCGCGGAGGGCGCGGAGGGCGCGGAGGCGCGGAGGGCGCGGAGCGCGCGGAGGGCGCGGAGGGCGCGGAGGGCGCGGAGGGCGCGGAGGGCGCGGAGGGCGCGGAGGGCGCGGAGGGCGCGGAGGGTGCGGAGGGCGCGGGGGCGCGCGGAGGGCGGGGGGGCGCGCGAGGGCGCGCGGAGGGCGCGGAGGAGGGCGCGGAGGGCGCGGAGGGTGCGGAGGGCGCGGAGGGTGCGGAGGGTGCGGAGGGCTAGACGCAATGCACCCTTAGCGTCAGCACACTGTGTCCCGGGCGGGGGCGCGGAGGGCGCGGAGGGTGCGGAGGGCGCGGAGGGCGCGGAGGGCGCGGAGGGCGCGGAGGGTGCGGAGGGCGCGGAGGGTGCGGAGGGTGCGGAGGGCTAGACGCAATGCACCCTTAGCGTCAGCACACTGTGTCCCGGGCGGGGGCGCGGAGGGCGCGGAGGGTGCGGAGGGCGCGGAGGGCGCGGAGGGTGCGGAGGGCGCGGAGCGCGCGGAGGGCGCGGAGGGCGCGGAGGGTGCGGAGGGCGCGGAGGGCGCGGAGGGCGCGGAGGGCGCGGAGGGCGCGGAGGGCGCGCACGGAGGGCGTTTGGTGACTACCCCATCGTCTTGTGTGACTCTCCTGCCCATCGACCGAATGCTCCCTGTCCGCGCTCCCCCCCATCCTTGTTCCCGAACCCGTGCGTCAACCTGACATCCATGCATGGTCCGCACGCCCCTCTCCCAGCAAAATGTTCCGACCCCCCTCCCTTGACCGTGTCGTCTCCGTGGCCTCCCGTCAAAATTCATTCCGTCATCCCACCGTCCTCCGTTGACCGTCTCCTCTTCGTGGCCTCTTTCGCCAGAAAGCGATCCGATAGAACGCCTTCCGCGTTGAAGCGCCAAACGAGAACCCAATCCCAGAGAGGTTTGCGAAAACAAAGAGCACGCGCAGAATAGACGCCAAGTGTCCAAGGCACCCCCTACCCCCCCCCCCCCCCCCCCCCCCCCCCCCCCCCCCCCCCCCCCCCCCCCCCCCCCCCCCCCCCCCTCACCCCCCACCAATTGATGGGGCTGCCCTGGCAACGTTTCACAGAGGCTCAAGCACATCAACTTTTTTGGCATCTTTTGAGCTGACGAGCGCGTTTAAACCTTTCAACTATGCTCCAGCGGGGTCGGCGGCTTGAGCCGGAGGCTCTTAAATTTAGGGTTTAGGGTTTAGGGTTTAGGGTTTAGGGTTTAGGGTTTAGGGTTTAGGGTTTAGGGTTTAGGGTTTAGGGTTTAGGGTTTAGGGTTTAGGGTTTAGGGTTTAGGGTTTAGAGGGTTTTAGGGTTTTAGGGTTTAGGGTTCAGGGCCAAAGTTCAACTTTTAACTTTGGCAAGCTCTTCTGGCAAGAGTTGCTCCCCCCTCTTCGGTTGTCCTGTGCATAGTTCTATTCACGCCCCCATGACCTAGGCCAGTGGCGCAGTTGCCTGTAAACTCCTTACATCCCCCCTATGAAGCGCCCGCAAGTACACAATCCCCTAGACAACTTCCTGTAAGGCGTTTAGAAGACGGGTTATGCGTGAAGGAAATTCCGTGCGGCTTCAAGCTTAGGCAGCAAGAGGGTTGGGGGCTGGACACGGACTTCGAAACCCTGCGCCTTGCAAGAATCCTACTGTCGTACGTAGGGGTCATGTCATGAGATTCGGGTTTTGGGGGATATGGATGCTATGGTTGATGTTGATGGGGCTTCTACGTGGGTTTAGGGTTTAGGGCTTCGGGCTTAGGGTTTAGGGTTTAGGGTTTAGGGTTTAGGGCACTAAGCACTACCTGAGATGCTGGCCTGAGTATCCACTTCGGCCAATGGATTCGGCAACAGGTCGAACTGGATGCCGCCCACGAAGGCCACGACTGGCTGCATGTTCAAGGCGAACGTGACCGTCACACACTTCTCGATTGCAATGTCCGAGGTGTAGAAGGAATAACCTTGCCACTTGTTCCAGTTGTCCTGCACCCACGTCGAGGCATTTGTGTTGCTTGCCTAACACAACTCCTCTTCTATGGAAGCATCATGCGGAAGGACCTTAACCACCACCCCCAATAGTTGACAGAGGATCAAGATCTTGCAGCAGCCTCTCGGAAAGGCAAAACTAAATGTTTCTGATTCGATTTTGGCATGAAAAGGAGAAGGAAAACATACGCTGATGTTCTCACCATGAGCTAGAGGAAGCCCTAGAGGAACCCCTATACACCCCTAAACCCTTATAGACCCTAAGCGGGGAAGACCTGCAGGGCTTAGGGGACTCCACGGTCTAGGGCTTAGGGTCTAGGGTTTTGGTTCCAAGTCCTCTTTTGTACTTAGAAAAATACACCCAACACTGCATCTCGTTCTCGGGTGCTTTCCTTCCTAGCATAACCTATAATCATCATCCCTCCGCAACTCTTGTTCCCTTCTATAGCCCTTACAGCCCCGCAACCTTACCTTTCCACCCACCCCCACCCCCCTCAAAAAAAAAAAAACTCTAATCCGGATCCGGAAAACCCCCTACCCTGAACCCTAGACCCTCAACCCTAAACCCTGAACCCTTAACCCAAACCAATCCCGAAGCCCTGATCTTCCCAGTCCTTCATCCACTTGTTGCCGCAAGGCACGGCCCAAGGCTCCAGCTTGATAAAGGCATCTTCGCTGGTTGCCTGCCAGTCCTCTGGAGACGGCGGAGGGGGAAAGGGGGGGTTAGGGGGTTGAGGGTTTGGGGCATGGGTTTTGGGGTTGCGGGGTTGGGGTTTGGGGATTAGAGTTCAAGCAACCTTAGCCGCATTTTTGTACCTTAATCACAAATGGTCCCTTTGTGATCCTTCAGGGAAGCCCGGTAGATCTTATCGCCCCAAATATTCCTAAGGTCCGGCAGGTTTCTCATATCCTGGGATCCGCAGCCCATGGGTTCAACTTCAATTCAAAACAGGCTTGTTCCTCTTGTAGTCAGAACTTAGAGTGGATCAGCGAGCTTCGCATGACGAAAGGCCAAACCCTCAACAAGAACACCGCGAAAAGGCCCTTTGGCATAATTGAAGGTCTCTAGTCTCAACCCCAAGCCCCAAAAGCAATACTTAAACCCAGATTCGCCCTATATAAATGGGCCCAAAACCCCAAGCTCTTGATCCTAAACCTGAAACCTCCATACGAGACACCCCCCCCCCCCACCCCAAACCCCAAACCCCAAACCCCAAACCCCAAACCCCAAACCCCAAACCCCAAATCCCAAACCCCAAACCCCAAACCCTAAACCCTAAACCCTAAACCCTAAACCCCACCCCTCCCCGCCCGCGGGGGCTTCGAATCTAAGGCAAGGGTCCTGTTGGGTCGCCTGGCTATCGCTCCCGGTCTTATTTCTCGGTGCAAAGGCCAGGCAGGAGCCTGTAGATGTCTCCCTGCCGTTGAACCTTGTAGGGTTTAGGGTTTAGGGTTTAGGGTTTGGGGTTTAGAGTTTTGGGGTTTAGGGTTTAGGGTTTAGGGATAAGGGTTTAGGGTTTAGGGTTTAGGGTTTAGGGTTTAGGCTTACTTAGAGGCTCAGGGTTGAAAGACTTAACAACGGCCATTATCAAAAGGATAGGTAGATCGGGTTGAGGGCTTAGGATATCATTTTAGCCGCTCGTGCTGTTGAAAACCGTCTTTGAGACGCCTCATGCCCTGGTTTGGCATTGTTCACGGGGAAGTAGGCCGCCAAGACACTTCTCTATGAGGCTTAGGGTAGGGGAAAAGGGTTCAGGGCTTTGGGCTTTGGGCTGTAAAGGTTTGAGATGATAGCTGCCCTTAGAAGCAGTCAGGTAAGGTGAATCACACGTGACTAATTCGTGTAGTTGGAAACGGATTTTGGCACATGACCCCTCTACGCCCATGAACATCCACACAAATCATTCTGCACCTCCATGTTAGGCACTGGCCTGGAGTCCCGGGCTTGTACTACACAGGAAGCTGCACCGCACGGGTTTAGGGTTTAGCGTTTAGGGTTGAGGGTTTAGGGTTTAGGGTTTAGAGTGTAGGGTTTAGGGCTCAGGGTTGAGGGTCTAGGGTTTAGGGTGAAGGGTTTAGGGTTTAAGGGGGGAGGTGGCTCTTCGGGCTTACAAGTAGCAAGAGGGCTGTGGTTGGCTAACAAAGAGATTGTAGGATCTGTCGAACCTTATGGTTTCATTAATGCCCTCCCCCAAAATACCCCCGCACCCCTATATTGAATCTTCCAAAACATGTTGTGTCGTTCTGACTTCTTGTGCTCTGAGGACTGAGGACCCTAACACTGCCAGCAGAGCTTTTCTTTCAGGACTTTGATGGGAATGAGGGAATGAGGGCCCTATGTAATCCCTTAAAGGGCATAAAAAGGGCCCTCGTTCCCTCATTCCCTACTAAGCCCGGGGTCTTCCAGGATTCTGATATGAACTGTAAAGCTCACAGATTCGTGCCAAGGGGCTGCGTCACCAGGGTTCGAGTCTGAGGCCCATAGTCGCCGAAGCTCCAACTGATAGCAGAAGGATCCTCCTTCAAAGGCTTGGGGCTTAGGGTTTGGGATGTTCCCTCTTATACTAACAGTCCTTGCTAGGGATTCGAATAGGGGGGGGGGGGGGGGTACTAGTTAAGGACTGTTGGCGCGCGGGGGAACAACCTAAGCTTCGGCGTTTGGCAGGGGATAATTGTTGGTGGAGGACTTCTCGTGAGATGAGTTTTTGGGGATTGTTTGGAGATTAAAATCAATTTACAGAGAGCCTGTGACTCACTTTGACCGTGCACGTCTTTCCCCCGCAGGATCAAGTTGCCGAAACGGCTTGGACCGCCCGCCATGGACCTACCCCCTGGAGCCTAAACCCTGGACCCTAAACCCTTCTTGCTGTTTAGGGTTTCGGGTTTAGGGTTTAGCCGAATTCACATGCAACGAATCGCATTGGTGACATCTGCATTTGATGTGCTTAGACTCACAGCGCAATGCACGTGCAGAAATTTGGTCTTGATCATTAGCTGCGGGGCGGGGGGGGGAGGGGGGGTATATGTGCAGTAGTGCAGCTGAACCTAATTAAGCCTCAAATCCCGAACCTTGCTCAGCCTGTTTCTGACTAGACCAAAAGGGTTTAGGGTTTAGGGTTTAGGGTGTAGGGTTTAGGGTTTAGGGTCAAAGCCCCACGGGCTCCTCGTCCTCATCATCATCGTCCTTGGCCTGGCTGCCACAACTCGTAGTGGTGATCGGGGTTAGGGTACAGGTTTCCCTTTCAAACCCTCCGGATGTTTGTAGGGTAAAGGCATTAAGGTTTGGGGACTACTACAGTGGCAAGCCTGCATTTAAAATCGAAAAATAGTAATAACAATAAGAAAAATAATCAAACAAAAAATGTGTATATATATATATATACATGATGATGATGACCAGAATCACAAAAACAACTGCTTGAGGCGATCCTTGGCCGCAGCCAACTCCTGCAGCAGCTCCGCTTGTCCGCTCGGAGCTTGTTGCGTGTGCTTTGTGATCATGAGGTTGCTGCCTGGACAGCTCGCTGCAGCGAGGGTTTAGGGTTTAGGGTTTTGGGTTTTGGGTTTTGGGGTTTAGGGTTTAGGGTTTATCAAAATCGAGGTCCCCCTAGAGTGGAAAATATACAGCCCCTTCCTGGGCAAGACTGGGGCTCTTGAAGCTGGCGTTCGGCACAGATCCCCGCCCCCCTCCCCCCCCCGGTTCTGGCTGCTTAAGCCCCCGCTCTCATGGGGCTTCCTGGAGGTTCGCAGGCGCTTGGCCCCTTGAGCCGGTACCCCTAGCTCAATCTCGCTCGGGCCTCACCTTTGAAATTATCTTCCAAGACTCATCCACAGGACGCCACCCAGCGGGAATCAATTGCGAACATCAGCTTCGGATAAACTGGGCCCTGAATCCTAAACCCCATAAACTAAAACTACAGCCTGAACCATACCTGAAGTCCCCTGCAAAATACATAACATAGTTCGGGCCCCTATATGAATATAATACCATGACCTGCCAAAACCCCTATTCTGACTATTAAGGCCCCATACAGTATAACGCCACCCTTGACATCACAAGCTCGGCCCTAAACCCTAAACCCTAAACCCTAAACCCTAAACCCTAAACCCTAAGCCCTAAACCCTAAACCCTAAACCAAGTCGGCCACCCGAGAGGCCTCTGTGGTGAACCATGGGGGGAGCACCGGCCGACGGGAAGTCGCTTGTAGCAGCCGTCTGGAGCAGCGACTTTCCACCCTTGGGAGACGTGACTCGCAGCCCTAAACCCTAAACCCAAAAACCCTAAACCCTAAACCCTAAACCCTAAACCCTAAACCCTACGGTTTAGGATTTAGGGTTCTTAGGGACTCTCACCCCTCACACCCGAGCCATGGAGCGAGTCCGAGCCCAAGGACTCTCAGTTGCAGCACGTTCGGTGATCAACAGGGAACTATACACAAACGGAGCTTCTGTAACTGGATAACTATGGAAAGAACTTGCCGTAAAAACCTAGGTCCTGTGGCCGACCCTAAAAACCCTAAAGCCTAATGACCCTGAAACCCGAAACCCGAACACTCTCAGCAACAAAAACCCAGGAACCCCTCAAACTCTAAGAACCCGTTCCCTTACACTTTCAACGATGAACCCTAAACTCTAAACCCTAAACCCTAAGCCCTAAACAAACCCTAAACCCTAGAACCCCCTTTCAACTCTAAAAGCCACTTTGCACACGGCCCTTGCCTTCATGGCTTGGGTGGCCACAGCTGAAGCAACTTTCGCGAAGGACTCGACGAACTCGGCGAAGATTTCGCCCAAGCGATTCCTCTGCCAGGCTTCGGGTTCGGGGTTTAGGGTTTAGGGTTTAGGGTTTTGGGTGTTGGGTTTTGGGTATAGGGGTTCAGGACTGAGGGTTGAAGGTTTTAGGGCTTACAGAAGTCTGGTCCCTGTTCAAAAAAAAACACCCCCTTACCATACACAAATTCCGACAATATTGTGATATGGGAGGTTCCGAGAATAAGAAGCCCCCAATGTAGACACCCAAATGATAGGATTCCCTTATAACAAGGACCTCAATAAGGTACCCCAAGTTTCAATGTGTCACAGCGAGGTGGTAGCAGGGGGAAGGGCATTACAAGGATGATGCTTGGTACTGCCCTCACTTCGAGGTCTAAGGCTGCGCGCACTATCTTGCCATGGCTATCTAGGGTTTAGGGTTTAGGGTTTAGGGTTTAGGGTTTAGGGTTTAGGGTTTAGGGTTTAGGGTTTAGGGTTTAGGGTTTAGGGTTTAGGGTTTAGGGGACTGGGGGCAGTACCCAGCGTTTCAGGTTTAGAGTCTCTCTCTCCTAAACTCAAGATCGTATCCTTCTGTTGCCATGTCGCTATGGGGAGTGGTGAGTAAATGTAGGTCCCCAATACTCCCCCGAGCTCCACGGCATACCTCAGGCTCCTGTAGGGTAGGGTTTAAGGGCTTGGGCTCGACTTGGGTGTCCACTTCATGCGGAAGCAGACTTTAACTTTGGGCTGAGGTATCCGGAAGTCAGGGTTGGGTTTTAAGGTTTAGGGTTTAGGGTTTAGGGTTTAGGGTTTTTGGGTTTAGGGTTTAGGGTTTTGGGGTTGAGGGTTTAGGGTTTGGGGTTTAGGGTTTAGGGTTTAGGGATAGCAGGAGAAGCTAGGAGTCTCTTGGAAGCTAGGCGATACACGGTTTGAAAACTGCTCTTGGTACTTGCCGGGTGGTTCCCTCGCTTCGGGTTTAGGTGCTCTCCATTGAAAGTCAATGTCTTGAGCATGGTGATGAGGGACTGGGTTTCTGGTCCAGGTGGTTCCTGAATTCCCTGCAAAGAACAGGCCTTTGAGTGGGAAATGTCTAATGGCATTTGGCGTTCCGGGCTGCACGTTTACCTGCTGGAGGTTCATGGTACTGATTAGCCAAGTTTTACTGTACTGTACTCCAAAACCATATTGGGGCACTTAAGGGGCTTGTAAGCACAGTAAAAAGACCAGTAAAAATTGGTTAATAAGTACCCTGAACCTCCAAGTAGGGTTTAGGGTTACGGGCTTCGGGTGGTCATGTGCAACCACATCCTGCAAAAGCTCAGAACTGAGCTCCAAGGCCCTAAATCTCAGAACCTTACATGTTGATCTTCGTCCGTGAACCCTAAAACCCTAAAACCCTAAAACCCTAAAACCCTAAAACCCTAAAACCCTCAAACCCTAAAACCCTCAAACCCTAAAACCCTCAAACCCTTTCTCTCGTAAGCTCTCAGAGATAAACCTACCTTTGGAGTAGACCCTGGAAAAAAAGTATATACTTTTTAGGTATAAGTAGCGATAATAGGAACCCAGAACCCCCCAAACCCCAAACCCCAAACCCTAAACCCTAAACCCTAAACCCCAAACCCTAAACCCTAAACCCTAAACCCTAAACCCCAGTGAAGACCAGCTGCAAGAAGTTCAGCGGGGGGATGCTCCCCACGATCTTGTAGCCGAGGCATTGGATCCTAGAGAGGGGTTTGGGGTTTAGGGTTTAGGGTTTAGGGTTTAGGGTTTAGGGTTTAGGGTTTAGGGTTTAGGGTTTAGGGTTCAGTTAGGGCTTGGGGTTTAGGATTTCTTTCGGATTCGTTTTGCCACTATCGGGGTCGAGAAGAAGAGGAGGAAGCGAAGGCTGCGGCTTCAGGTTTAGGGTTTAGGGTTTAGGGTTTAGGGTTTAGGGTTTAGGGTTTAGGGTTTAGGGTTTAGGGTTTAGGGTTTGGGGTTTGGGGTTTGGGGTATAGGGTTTAGGGTCTAGGGTGCAGGGCTTAGGGTTCCTAATCCCTAAGCCGCGCTATGTTTCACGTGCCGTATGAGGGTTTAGGCTTTCGGGGGAATGTCATGGCTATCAAAAGCTCTGTGATTTCACCGGCCGTCCTACAGTAAGAATCCGAATTAGGGTTTAGGGTTTAGGGTTTAGGGTTTAGGGTTTAGGGTTTAGGGTTTAGCGTTTAGGGTTTAGGGTTTCGGAACCCCCAGGTTCAATCAAGGCTTCGGTGCACGAAAACCCCCGAACTGCAAATGCAAAAGCACTGGATCGCATCCCAGTAGCAAATCACCTTGCGACGTCGGATTGGAACACCTTGGTAGGCCAGTAATCATGTAGAAATTAGGGGTTCGAGGTTTAGGGTTTAGGGTTTAGGGCTTAGGGTTGTTTAGGGTTTAGGGCTCAGGGTTTAGGGCTCAGGGTTTAGAGTTCAGGGTTTAGGTTTAGGGTTTAGGGTAATTATTACAACAAGGGTGCCCTTTTGAGCGTTGGTGTTCTCTAAGGGAACCGAGAACCCCAAAAAAGGTGCAAAAGGCACTGGCCTACCAAGACACTTCATGAGCTCATTTCCCATGGTAAGCAACGTCTCGACGGAGTTCACATTGCCGCCTCCTTGGTTCAGCATAGACTTGGTTTAGGGTGTAGGGTGTAGGGTTTAGGGTTTAGAGTTTAGGGTTTGGGGTTTGGGGTTTAGGGTTTAGGGTTTAGGGTTTAGGGTTTAGGGTTTAGGGTTTAGGGTTTAGGGTTTGGGGTTTCGGCTCAGGGTCTGTTCTCAGTTGTCCAGTAACCTGGGGGAAGTAAAGGTTCACCTTTGGGAGTATAAAGGGGTTATATTACCCCAAAAAGGTTAAAGGTCACCTACTCTACTGCTAGGCAACATGCATTGTCCAACGGACCTGTGAAGGGTTGCTGTCATGTGCTGCTGCTGACGACCTGAACGCTAAGTCTCGTGTCGCCCACGTAAGCCACGCGCGCACTGCTTAAGCCACAAAGGTTTTGATCCTGGGTGGAAAAACTCACCTCCCATTAGCTCGAGGATACCCGTGTAGGATGCTGTAGGCTTCGTTCTACGCACCATGCCCGAGGTTTACCCAGCTCAACGTGCAAAATCCCCCCCTTTCTGTATTCCCGGCCCCGTGGTGTTGCTCTTTGTCTTGCGTTGTGACCTCCTGCGCGGCCCTGGACCCTGAACCACCCCTGAACCCCAAACCTAAACCCCAAACCCTCAACCCTAAACCCCAAACCCCAACCCCTAAACCCCAAACCCTAAACCCCAAACCCCAAGTAAGCCCAGCCACCCAGCATCTGCAGTGGCCCTGGGAAAAGGTCTGTGAGCTTGCCATCGGCCACCTTCTTCACCTTAGGTGTCTGTGGTTTAGGGTTTAGGGTTTACGGTTTGGGGTTTAGGGTTTAGGGTTTGGGGTTTGGGGTTTAGGGTTCAGGGTTTAGGGTTAGGGTTTAGTGTTGCCCAGGAAACTAGGAACAGAACGGGTGCCATTTCTGTGTTTACAGGGCCTTAGAGGGGAAGTATGGGTCTAATTTTCTGCAGAGGTCGCTTTCAAAGTTGACCTTTTTGGTTTAAACACTTACGGTTGGCTAGCAGGGAATGAGGGAATTAGGGGCCCCATATCTACCCTTTAAGGGATTACATGGGGTACATCATTCCTCCGTTCCCTACTAACCAACAATAAGACCAGGGCCTTACATACCCGAAAAGGCCACAGGTTACCAAACGGACAGGCAGGCCGCCGGGTTGTTCGCGTCCAGGAGGCCCAGGAGGTCACCCCTGACAACCTGCTGCAGCTGGCTGGGCAGCAGCTTGTTGATATCGCCGCTGACGACTTGCTGCAACTGCTTGGGCAACAGCTTATTGATGTCGCCGCTGACAACCTGCTGCAGCTGCTTTGGCACAAGCTTCATGATGTCGCCACTGGCAACCGACCGCACCTTTCCGGGGAGAAGCTTCTTGATGTCACCGTCTACAACTTGCCGCAACTGCTTGGGCAGCAGCTTCTTGATGTCGCCATCTACAACTTGCCGCAAAGGTCTGGGCAGGAGCTTCTTGATGTCGCCATCTACGACTTGCTGCAGTTGGCTTGGCAGCAGCTTCTTAATGTCGCCGTTGACAACCTTCTGCAACTCATCGGGGACAATTTTCATGACGTCACCGTCAGCAACCTGAATGAGCTTTGTGGGCAAGATCTTCTTGACATCCCCTTTCGCAACCTGCGCCAACCTTGTGGGGAGGCCGTTCTTCAGGTCCCGCAATGTCTTGGGCAGGAAGCCCAGGGGGGGCTGAAGCTTCCTGATCTTGTTCCCAATGCACTTGAGCATATTGTCTGCGTTGGACTTCTCGCACTTCACAATCTCGTGGAAGAAGTAGATGGCGCCCTTCACCTTACGGTTGGCTAGCAGGGAAGGAGGGAATGAGGTACCCTATATCCCCGTAAATCTACCCTTTAAGGGATTATATAGGGTACCTCATTCCCTAAGCCCTAAACCCTAAACCCTAAATCCTAAACCCTAAACCCTGAAATTCCCTGCTAACCAACAGGCAGGTCACCACATCCGTGGATGCACCACCAATGGTCTTCAATGGACCAGGCAGAGGAAGCGTGAGCTTCGTCGCCGGAAAGCCGAAGCTGGCGGTCTTCTGACCAACCCTCGGTCGGGGTTTAGGGTTTAGGGGTTTAGGGTTTGGGGTTTAGGGTTTAGGGTTTAGGGGTTTAGGGTTTAGGGTTTAGGGTTTAGGGTTTAGGGTTTAGGGGTTTAGGGTTTAGGGTTTAGGGTTTGGGGCTTGGGGTTTGGGGTTTGGGGTTTGGGGTTGAGGGTCAAGAACGGTGTTCTGGAGTTGCACTTAGCAAATGTCAAGGATGCAGCACGACCCCCATGGTGAAGTTCGAACAAGCTTGAAAAACGTCATGCCGGAACCCTTCAACCCTAAACCCTATACCCCAATGATAGGGCTCTGAGGGAGGGGGGTGGGGGAGAAAATTTTCGGGAGCCAAATTCCTGGGAGGGTCTAGAAAGTAGATGCTGCTAAGGGTTCCTACAGGTTTAGGGTTTAAGGTGCCAGTTTTTTTCCAGAGGAAGGGTCTGAGAGGAGAACACTTTGTTTCATGATGAGTCCATTCCCCTCAATACTCTGACTGTTGCGCGAAACGGACAAACCTAACAAGATGGCAAACTGGAAGGCAACAGAAGGGAAACGGAGGCGACCCGATCTGGGTCTTGGTGGGGCATTGCATGTCACGTCTTCCGTAGACTAAGCCAAGAGACTCAGCAATTGTGGGCTTGAGATGATTTAAGAGTCTAAAATCCTTCTATACCCCTTACCTAAGCCCAAAAGTGGGATTCCCGTGTATACCCCGATATCACCGCGCTTCTTATGGAGTATTGCTGGACTCTGCATCCAAAAACTCTTTGCTCCAGGTGTCCTAGGCCCAAAAGTCGAGAACCCTGACCTCCCCCAAATCCTAAACTCTAAAACCCTAAAAAACCCTAAAAAACCTAAACACCCTAAAACCCTACACCCTAAAACCCTAAAAGACCCGAAAGCCCTAAAACCCTAAACCCTAAAACCCTAAAACCCTCAAACCCTAAACCCCCAAAACCCTAAACCCCAACACACTAAACCCCAACAACCCTACACCCCGAAAACCCTAAACCCCGAAAAGCCCGAAAACCCTAAGCCCCAACACCCTAAACCCCGCATGCCTACCATTCGGCGCCCTAGGAACCCTAAACCCTAAACCCTATAGGACCCTAACTTAGGTACCTTTGGGATCCCGGTCAGCCTCGCATCGCAAGAGGCTTAGGGTTCTGTGAACCCCCAAACTTCAAACCGAAGGTGTGGTCTGTTCAGTTGGGTTTAGGGTTTAGGGTTTGGGGTTTGGGGTTTGGGGTTTGGGGTTTGGGGTCTGGGGTCTGGGGTCTGTGGTCTCGGGTCGTGTCGGCTATGATTGCAGGCCCAGGCGCAGAGAAATCGAGCATGAGATGCCCGGAATCTCCAAACTGAGATCCTTGCTGCCGAAGGCGGCCGACGGCTCGTACTTCTTGAGTTTGACGGCGCCTGCACCAGGGCTCTCGAAGTGTTTAGGGCGGCCCCTAACACCCTAAACCCTAAACCCTAAACCCTAAACCCTAAACCCTAAACCCTAAACCCTAAACCCATCTACCAATCTAAACCCTAAACCCGAAAGGGGCATCTCCTCCATGTAGGGAACTACAAGGCCGACAACCTCTGTTGACCACCTAGACATTTTTGTGTCCTTTTCACAGGGATGGGTTTAGGGTCTAGGATTTAGGGCTTATGGTTTAGGGTTTAGGGTTTAGGGTTTAGGGTTTAGGGTTTAGGGCTTAGGGTTTAGGGCTTAGGGTTTAGGGTTTAGGGTTTAGGTTCAAGGCTGCGATCCGCATGACTGTCGTCCACTTTGGAGCCCGAGATCTGTCTGGCAGCCTTGAAACGTCAACGGTCTTAGTCCCCTCCCCCTGTAATGCTGAAGCCGCGCAAAAATGGGATATTTGTGGGTTTGCAAAAAAGGGGGGGTACCTTATTGGGGTCCTGACTATGAAGGAATCCCCTACTATTTGGGGTCCTGACTATTAAGGAATCCTCTACTATTTGGGGGTCTATATTCGGGGGTTCCTCGTTTTCCTGTCCCCGCTTTAAAGCTTCCCACTATGTGCACTGAACTCCGAAGCCCTCAACCCTATACCCTAAACCCTCAACCTGTTTAGATTCTGCCACCATCTACACGGAACTGCGAAGCTCCCACAAAAAGCCTGGGCCGAATGTCCCAACGTTGAAACTCTGAAGCCCAAACGTGACCCTGAAGCTCCCTGGACGCCCTAAACCCTAAACCCTCAACCCTAAACCCGAAACCCGAAACCCTAAACCCTAACCCGAAACCCCTGGTTTCTAATGCCCGTCACATACTGCCGCCCGCCGCGCGCTCCTTTCTTCACGGCGTCGGTGATGGTCTTGGTGATCTTGTGGTGGAATTCTTGGCTGGCGGGGGGGAGGGGGGGGGTGCGCTTTGGAGGTGAGAGTTTAGAGTTTAGGGTTCAGGATTTAAGGCTTTGGGCTTTTCAGTTGAGCATGTCTTCTCTTTTTTTTTGTGGGGGGCGGGGAGGGGTTGCAGATCGCAAGATCACCTATGTTTTACGGAGGCGCTAAAGTTTTTTGAAGAGGCGGTAATATGCATCAGGGAAACCATGATAAGAGTGCTCTTACCTCCAGTTCTTGCTGTACTTCTAAGCCCCCTCTGTCCCCTAAGTAGGGTTATAAGTAGACTCATAACTGGGGTTCGAAGTACCCCTCAACCCTGAACCCTAAAACCTCCCAGTGGGCTAACGCCCATGAACCTCCAAGTAGGGCTCAGGACGAAGCCCTGAGCCCAAAGCCCAACCGAATCTGCACACACTAGCAGCCCAAGTCCGTCCTCCCAGGTCTAGGGCCTAGGAGTCGAGTTTTAGGGCTTGGGGTTTAGAGTTTAGGGTCTAGGGTTTAGGGTTCAGGGTGTAGGGTTTAGGGTTTAGGGCTACTTGCCAACATGGCGCTCCCGATGGGACCGAAGCGCCGCTGCGAACGTCGCGAAAGCAGCGAGCGTTCTTGAAGCAGTGTTGATCCTCCTCTGCACCACGACCGTAAACCCCAAACCCCAAACCCCAAACCCCAAACCCCAAACCCTAAACCCTAAACCCTAGACCCTACACGTGGCAATCCATGCTACCTGCGCTTGCTTTGGTGCCCCAACCCACAAGCCTGACCTTACAAGCTTCCAAACCCACCCTCAACTAATAACCATGTATGTATGTATGCATGTATGTACCTCATAACCCCAATAACCCCAATAACCCTAATGACCCTCAAAGCCCCAATAAGCCTGATAACCCTTATAACCCTCATAACCCTTATAACCCCAATAACCCCAAACCTATTCCATGAACCCTAATGTCAAAAATCAATACAACCGCAAGCGTCTAAGCCCACCATGACTTTCTTGAGACCTGGCCTACGCGTCTGCAACTTCCGCTGAAGTCTTTAAAGCCTGGCACGCCCAGCACACGGAGAAC